TGACAAAAACATTTCCACACAGCTAGTGTTATAAAAATGGGATATTAGAGAGTTATATATGCTCAGGCAAAACCTTAATTTAATAAAACATTCAGTGACATTCTGTTTGCATCCTTCCTTAAGTTTCTGCTTCTATTTGTCTGCCTCTGAGTATTAAATTCCTGCTGTAGGCTGAATCTGGGCTAAGATTATGCACAATAATTGTGAGTCGAGCTTCAGTTTACAAGCTGAGTCAATAATGAGTCAAAGAGAAACTCAATAAAAGGAAATGTATGCTGCCAGGATCAGACTACAAAGCTTTGGGATGTCTAAGTAATACCACAGCATTTGGGAATTTCAGAATTTCAATATACCACGTCCAAAGGGCTAATTACAAGCTCCTTATGGAGTCAGAGATTCTGGGAGTTATTTGTGTTTCAAAAATTAGGTTTGGTGGTATTTCATTGAAATTTAGAGTACGTCTGTTCCACTTAGCTGTCAAGTCTAAAATCCAATATGCATTGCAATTCCATCATGCAAACACTAGCAATGGCCATAGTGCTTACCTCTACAGCCAGTCTGCTTCCAACTTTTTCCATACCTTAATCCATGGAAATTACCATTACAGAATTCATATTATCACCTAAAAATTAATTTCAGTAAGTCAACATTTTGAAGGGTTTTCCACTTATTTGATACAGGGTCAGATTTTTTTTTTTTTCATATGCTGACAATTTTTATGCCACAGAGAAAAGGGCAGAGACTTCTAAAACTCTGTCTGCTTCTAAACCTGTTTTAGAATACTGGGGTATATCAAAATCCTAATGCAAATTCAGTGAAAAGATATGCAAAAAATAAAAGAAGGAGGTACCCACATGTGCAACAGTGGACATCACCAAATACACTGCAGAAACATATGGCAAAAATTAACTTCTGAACACTTCCAAAATGTTTGGTTTATAACTCGACTGCAACTGTACTGTTTACAAACAACTGCAGAGCTAGAATTTCAGAAACATTACTGAAGTCAAGAGCCTCTCTTTACAGCAGCAGTCAGAGTGAATACAGACTAGCAGCAATAAAACTCTCCTTCCTAGGCAACGGGGTTAAAGCTAGTGACGGTATTTAGTAAACTTATATGGAAAGAAAAGAAGGGCCACAAAAGGAAAGTGAGTTTGAATCAAAATATCCAGTGTGCTTTTGTTGGTGTTAAAGCCTTCTAAACCCTAAGTACAAAATGGAGGAGAAACTAATGGAAGAGGCCCTATGAGGATACATTTAGATAAATAGATAAAATCCCACAATTTAGAGAATAAATTAAATACAGTCCTGGAGCTGAACAAATTTACACAGTTGTTGGAAAATATTAAGAAGGAGAAATTCCCTTCCAATTGAGTGAATGCCTGTCACAGAACAGGAAATCCCCCCAACAACAGGCAGGCCTGAGGAGTACACCCAGAGTAGATGCTATGAATGATTAGCACTGTCTGCTAATTTGAGGCACAGGGAGAGATCTTACAGTGGCAAGGGAAAGAAGTGTGTGGGGAAGAGGAACTTTTCCTGTATTAAGATCCATTAAGTACAGAACAGGAGCAGAAATTTCCAATCCCTGCTGGTGTTAAAACTGGAATAACTCCCTAGAAAGAGTAATTCATATATTCGATTCATGGATAATCCAAGCACTTATATCCTCCATCCAATCCCAAAACTCAAGCACATACTTTGATGAATACACCACATTCCAGACTAAGGGAAGTATTTGGCTGTACTACTTCAATGCTGGGAAACTGAGATGACCAAAGTTTAGCTGGGGTGGGATTAAAGGAACAGCCCTTAAGTTTATTGTGGCAGTGACAAGAGCTACAAATAATTTCTGTCAGGAATTAGAGTTGAATTATTTGACTCGCTGCTAAACTGTCCCTGTTTAATCTGGCACTTTCCCCATGACATACAACACCATGACTTTGTAAGACATGCAACACTCGGTTACAAGTGGTAAGAAGAAAGGAACACGTCCTGCAAAATTTGATCTTCCTCTCATTTTCACAACTAAATCCTGGGGACTGTGTCTCCCTCCTCTCAAATGAATCTGCTAGTAGTTATGACTAAAATTAATCTTTATAAACGCACTTCTTCAGGCTCATCCCAAATTGCAGCATGCCAGTAAAGCTATTATTAATCGAGGATGGCACATTTTGAAGTGCTCCATGTCAAAGCTGGGTCAGTATGTTTTTCAATGGGAGGTCACATTCCTGTTTTCCTAGCCTGCAGAGTGACCCTTCTTGATTGAAAGGATCTTTACGCATGGAGGAGTATCTGACACAAACCAAACTGATATGCTACTGGAGCTTTCCAGTAATGACAGTAGGATAAAGGAGGCCTTTGAAGTTCATGGAAGAGTAGGAAGAGGTGTTAATTTAAAAAGCTTGTCAGTATACCCAAGAGCAGAAGGAGAGCAAAGCATCAATTAATAATTAACACTTCTATTTTTCCATGTTATCACAGTATCTCAAACCAGTTTGCAAACATTGATTAAGTCTAATGACGTGCCCCTGAAGCAGACAAGCATGGATGAAGCTCTACTCCTACCAGCCAGGATGGCACTCTGGGAGCATTTTGTTTAGCTGATCTATGCCCTCTTTTCCCCATCTGTTATATGGTGATAATGACAGTATCATACAGCAGTTCAGAAGCTTAGTGACTTCTAAATCAACACATTTATAGATAGAAAAATAGCACAAAAGGGCAATCTCATATGTCAGACTACACTCAATTACACTGAACTAAAGCTACCACATTTGACGTGATAACATAGCCAGTGGGAAAAAACCCCTCTATCTCCATTTTATAACACCTTACAGATTTGCTTTGCTCTGTCCCCAAGTACCCAGAGCACTTGAGTTCTAGTTAATGACCAGGATTCTTGGGTACTATGTTAACATTGTACTTACAGTAATTAGATCTGCTGTAGAAAGAACTGTGAGAAATTAAAGACTGTCCACAGTAGCCTCTAACTCCCAATTAACACAAAGTAGTCGGTGTGTTTGGAAGCCAGGACAACATACCCATAGCTTAAAACTCCACAGGGAACTGTCATTTACATTGAGATGGGAAGTTGAACAGTTGAACACTGTTTAATCATTGCTTTGAAAGACAGGTACCCAAGCATCATCCACTTACAGATGGTGAAACGGCAATTCAGGGAAGCTCTGAGCTGCCAAAACCAACCACACATGCCAAAACCAGCATTACACTTTTGGAACTCCTCACTTCCAACCCCACAGTCAGACTTTTTTTTTTCTTTAAATAAAAGAGCCCGCAAACCATGGATGCTCTTGTCTTAATGAAAAAGAGTTCTTTCTTCCTTGTTTGGGTCTCTTTCACATATATAATCAGATAGATCTACTTTGCTTAACCCTCTTCCTATTCTGACATTTCCAGGAGAACCAAATATAGAGACAAGAGTAAATGCTTCATGAAATACAGCTCTTTTCTTCTCCTACACCCAACAGTCACTTTCAAAAGCAGATTGTCATGACAACAAACAACCTGGATGCAATCCAGCCAATTAATCTGCAAAGGAAGCATTCATCCCAACCTTGGAAAACAGCACTGCTTCTTTAGGCTTTAGAAGCTAAAAAAAGAGAGAAAGAAAGAGAAACCCACTACAAAACCTTACCACCTGCATTAATCTTATTATGCTGCCTCAGACCTGTAGTGAAGAGCAATTTGTCCCTCAGCCCATGCTAGTCCCTCACCATCCCTTTCCTCCCTCCTCCAGACAGAGAGTAGGGGCAGGTCAGACCCCCTCTCCGAGGTTCTGATCCAAGTCCTGTTCCCAGGCTGTAATGCAGCTCAGCATGCAGAGGCATTACCAGGATGACTTCTTCAGCCTTTCCATGTGGAGCCACAGGAAAGAGCTCACAGGTTAGGTGGAGGAACGACACAGAGGAGATTGTCACACACCACTGCTATAAACCCTGTTTTGTTGGCATTGCTGTTGCATATCTTCCCTCTTCCTCTGTGAGTTGTCAATAATATTTATCATCATGTTAAGCTCAGGATTATTTTCTTTTCCACAAAAGACTAAATGATCAGTGCAGCTAGACATTAAAGTCATCCTCCTTCAATTCCACTAATTACTTCTTCCTTCATACCCTGCTCTATCTCTCTTCACATGCCCTGCTTTCCTTAGGCAGAAGCATATCATCCCTCTCCTGCAGATATCCTGCATCTCCCATATTTTGCCTATCTCTCAGTAGTAACTCAGACATTAAAATGTTTAGTAGTGATGCCCAGTACATATCATTTCTTAACCTCAAGTCATTCATATATACTTGACATTTTATAAAATACTATGGTATCAAGTTGCAGAAAACAACACTGAAAAGCACTAGACGTAGACTTTAGCATAGGTCAAAAAGAAAAAAAAAAATCAAAGACTGTTTTGAGATTCTCACAAGATTCAATATACAACAAGTTTCAAACAAAAATTTTCTTCCCTGTGTTCGTCCTTTACTCTATATACAGAAACAAGGAAGGGTAGGAATAAATGCTTTTACAGTAGACTTGTCCTGCAATGAAACATGACTTTCAGAAAGTAACTGAGCAGTGAGGATCTAAAGTTTTAAGACTACACAAGAGTTACTCATCTGGTAAATGGACAGATTCACTTCCAACTGTACTTTTACTATCGATCCCCCTGGGTCCAATCCATCTCACAGAAGTTACTAAATGGATTCCCAGCAACTTCAGTGAGCACTGGATCACAGATTACAAGCACTTCCTGCAAAAATGTGTTTTTACTAATCTGAAAAAGATACCAGTCTTCTGAGCACTGAAAATTCAATGTATGCATGCACACACACACATTCTACACATTTCATTATTTGCAGAACAAGGAAACCACAGCTCCAGCCAACTCAGAGCAAGCCAACAGAACCGTATTTCCTGCTGAGCCTGTTCCATGTTAATTTGAGTTGGAATACCATTGCAGAATAGAATAAAATCCCTGTGCCTACCTTGAGGGCTTTCGCAGCTTTCTTCATCACTGTTGTCTTGGCAGTTATTCTGACTGTCACACACAAAGCTTTTATCAATGCAAAGACCATTTTTACAGTGGAATCGGGCAGTAGAGCAAAGCAAGGGATTTGCTGCTGCAAAAAGAGAAAGTGAGATCTTTCATTAGAAATTCTCTTGCCCAGGCAGTTAAATAGCCTGTAAGCAATCAATGACAACAGGCCACAACTCAACAGCTGGTCAATCCGCTGAATATGTGAAAGTAACTTGGCAATCACACCAACCTTCCCTCTAAACAGGGAGAGCTGAAACTTCCAATTCGTGCAAGATTCATTACAATTAGCAGAGATTTAGTCCACCCACAGTTGTGATAAGCCTTCTGTTCATTTTCATGAGAGCCCTAATCATGATCACTGTTCCACATTTGCTCACACTGAAGACATATGGACTTGAACTGCCTACCATAAACACCGACTGTTGATTCACTCTACAACAAACTCAGTTTAGTTCAAGTTCCATACTATAAGGCAATGATCCTGGCTGAGAACTGCCAGGCAGTGGTTTATTTACCTTGCTTCTGGTTTTTTCCTCCTACCCCATTTTCCTTGCTATTTTGAATTGATACAATGGCACTGCTGAAATCTCTCAACTTCTCACTGTTTCGAATTTCAACTCCTTTTTAAGGGTATATGCACATTACAGTAGCACCCAGAAAGTCCTTTCACCTAAGACCCACTGTTGCACAGAGAGCAAAAACAGAATAGTATTTAAGCAGACTCATTTAGGTAGAGCAGTCTTCTCACCATGCCAAACCCAGCAGTATACATGCTCTAAAATGCTATGTCTATTTTCATTTAAAGCTTCAAGCAGTGCAGTTTTCAACACTTCTGGCAGATTACATCACAGTTTCAATGCATCTCACTGCCAAGGTTTCCTTGATACAGATTTCTCTTTTCTAATTTCAACCCCCTACTCTTAGCTATAGCCCAGCACACATAACTAAATGACCCCTCCTTGAACAGCATTTGCATCCTTCATATACAGCATATATATCCTTACTCTCCAACACAGTCATTGCTTAGCCAAGATATGCATAACTCAGCTGTTTTTAATATGTACTCGTAAACCAACCTCTCTCCCTCAATCATTGTTGGCACTCTTCTCTGACTCTTCTCAATGAGGTGACTGAAACTGAATTCAACTTTCCAAATGAAAACCTTAAAAAAGCTGTTTAGATGCCTTGCCTGCTTCAAACTGCTTCTCTGTCACAATAACAAAGGGCATTTCAGTTTTCAAATACTAATTGGCTTCCTATTTTTTATTATTTAAGTAAGAGCTGGATTTAAAGAGTCTTCAAAAATTAAAAAAATGAAACTATGGAGTCTGACCTGCATATAACTTGCAGGATACGTAACAAACACTCCCAATTTCTCCAGCTTCCCAAAAGCATGTTTATCATGAACATGCTAAAGCTCCTTTGGTTCAAAACTGCTGCACGCTGATTTTTGAGGTCACCTTAGGGCCTCATTGTTGTTCCTCTTCATAAGCAGTGACTAGACATTTAGACATGATAGAAAATATCAAGTGCGTGCTTAAATGGCATCGAAAAACAGGGACATCTGCAGCATGTTATCATCAGCTGTAAAGTCCTGTTGGAGCTACACTCTACAAGCTCATGGGAAATTGTTTCATTCATAATGAACTTCATAAGCTGGTGCACCTCCAGTTGAGACCTGCTGCTTGTCAGGTCACCACCTCAAGGATACTCAAAGCACTTTTGTCAAAACTTTTTTTAGTCCGCTTGTTTAAGCACAACCCGGAGGAATTTCCTTAGCCTTCAATCTACCTCTAGCTTCACTTGCTCTGCAGAAGTGCTAACTCCCTGCCACAATCCTCCCAGGGCCCAAACCAGACTCTCTAGGCCAACAACAGATGGAACCTTAAGAGGTATTCATGCTGTGGGGGAAAGCACACTAACAAGAAAGGCAAGTCCTCCAAGAAGCAGACAGTGATATATTACTGTAAAGATCACCCTTTCTGTTATCTTTGAAAGCTGGTGTCTGTTGTCCTCCTCCTGACCTTTAAATGTTATTAAAAAGAAATACTCAGCAAGCTCCAACAAGATAAGCAAGTATTTTCCTGCAAGCTTTTACCTGCAGACTCATGCTTTTACCAGCTCTTGATAATAACAGAGCTGCTGTCTTGAACATAACTTTTCCTTCCTGCTATGATATATCCCTTCTAGACTTACAGATACAAAAGGATCTACACAGCCACATGCAGAGAGTTTAGCCCAAGTCAAGCAGTACTTCAGATGAACTCCGTGCTGCAACTTCCCTGCAAGTTGCAGAACAGCAGCTCAATCTGAGATTAGTTCAGTTGGTTGGAGCATGGTGTTAACAACATCGAGGTTGTAGGTTTGATCCCCATGTGGGACATTCACTTAAGAGTTGGACCTGATGATCTTTGTGGGTCCCTTCCAACTCAGAATATTCTGTCAAGTTAGCTCATTGAAAGGCAGGCCCACCTTCAAGAACCTCCTTCTTCCGAGAACCTGTTTCTCAAAATATGCCATTATTTGCTTTTTTGTTGTTTGAGAACATGTATAAGCAAAGACACCTAAACCTACTGAATAACAAATACATCATATTCTTCAGTGACACGAAACAGGCAAATAAAAACAGAACAATTCAAAGTGATACTTAATATTTGCCCCATTTGAGTTACATTTGAGTACATAGAACATGCTCAAAGCAAACATGAAGCTTAAAACTCATTCAAAAGTCACAAACTCATTTCAAAGTCACAGAGACGCTTGAAGTATCATACAGGCATTATATGCAAAGCAAGAGTGAGCTGGACCTTAAAAAACAAAAAAACCCACAGATTGATTTATAAAGTGAAAAGACAAAGATGGGTTGTAATTGACAGGGAGAATACTTGACTCAGAAACTAAAGGCTACCCAATTCTTCCCTTTCTAAGTGGTATTAGCTAGTTGAAAGAAGCAGCAGTGCCCTCACTCGCATGCAGACCCACACTTACTGCAGTTCTCCTCATCGCTGCCATCGGGACAGTCCTCGAAGCCGTTGCAGCGGAAGCGGCCAATGATGCAGTGGATCCCGCTGGCACAGGGGAAGAATGTGGCGCCGCATTTGGATTTGGTTTTCGCTGGGAGAAGACAAGAGACAGGAGTGGGCAGAGGTGAGGGAAACAATTTACAAAGGTCAGAGATGCTTTTTTAGCAGTACAGTTTAGGGTGCTCTATGCAGTGCTGCTGGCACAGATGTTAGGTGCCTTCCAAGTTCCCTATGGCCTGCTTTCAACTACTTTAAGTATTTTTTGTGAGATTTCACCTGCTTGGTCTGATTTTTTCCAATTTGTGCAATTTCCAGAATGATTGAAACAATTAAACTTAAAACTAGTCAAATGACCTCTCAAAACAAATTTAAATTGCTCAATGCTTTGGAGTACAAATTTGTAAATTTGGCAAGAAGGTACTCCTAAAAGTCCCCTGAAGACCCACATGAATTTAACCAACATTTTACACTGGAGTAGAACTATTAACACAGAGGGTCACACTCCCCAGAAAACAAGATCAACTTGACCTCTTTGCATGAACATCTGTGGTAAATGTCACTGGCCCAGGCAAAAGTCCAGGAGACAGACAGGTAAGCAGGTCCTCAGGTGGCAGACAACAACCCTCAGAGGCAAAGGTCTATCTGCACTAGTCGTAAACCCCCCAACAACCTACAGCTCTACGTCATGCCGAGTCCACAAACACTAAACAGCAGCAAAAGTCTAGATCTTGTACACCACCAAGCTTCTCTTGCTTGCTCAGAGAAGCAAAACACTCAAGTGCCCAAGGAAGACAGAGATAATGAACACTGTAGAAAGTTCTAAGAATTTGGGATCTGTAGGCAAATTTGGACAATGACAATTATAGAAAGAGTAAGGAACTATCTGAAGAAGAAAATTAGTAATACAGAGATATTAAGCAAATTAGTGTCTTTGTGAGAATAAGAAAGACAAGAGATGCTCATAGAAGTATTTTTCAGGTTGCAAAATCAAACTCAAAAAAGACAGTGCTATAATTAATACTGCCTTTATCCAGCATGATTTATATACAATTGACTGCAAAAGGAACATGAGTTATATAAATTGCATCTCTTGCTGCAGTTCTTCCGGACAGAAACTACATCTATTTCACAGCACCAGCACAGCTATTCATGAAACACTAAATACTAACAATAGCATCAAAATGTGTTTAATGAATGATTACAGAATCTTATTATGGTCTCAAGTACTACTCATTTTTTACTTCACTGCACAGCAACTCTTCACAGCAAGAACAGCCCTCAGCTAAAGCGATGCAGATGCTTCCGCCATGATGCTCAGGGCAAGCATCAGCTAAGTCTTGTGCTATCACCAGCCTAGAAGAATACAACTCCTAAAGTAAAAACACAATTTTACAAGAAGAGATGTGGTTACATTTTTTTCTCCCTCTTTCTTTTTCAAATTATCCCACAACACAACAGACCACATCACAAGACACTGAACTCTTCAGAAAGTACACTCTAAAGCAAAGGCAGTCTCTGATGGAAGAGTATGCTGGTAAGTGCAGGAAGGTGTGTATGGTATAACGTGGTAATACCATGCACAGACCAATGATGACAGAACACCAGAAAACAAACCAGATCCATAGCTTGTAGGCCTTTGAGTAAATGTTTCCTACTCCTTCCTCAAATCTACAAGATGTGTTTGCAACTCACAGGTTTTGAAATGTGACATATCTGGGGATAACAGTAACATGCAAGTATTTTATGTGGCCCCTTGGCACATCAATACACCAGCCTGTGCAGTTTTATAAGGCCAAAACAAGGTCATAGGCAACCAGAGTATATTAAAAAAGAAAGTATATCCAAAAGAGATAAACAGTTTTAGTATAACTTTGTAAGGAATCCTCTTTTCCAGGGTTAAAAACTAAGTGCAGCTGTAGTAAAGCCTTCTTCCATCACTCAACAGAGTGCATATAAACTGTTTTAAACCACAACTACAGTAATTCTCACTTGATTTAGTGTCCTCCAAAAGCAAATTCCTGCAGTTCCTCTCTTGCATGTTTTTTGTTATTATTACCAGTAGTTTTTAGTTAGAATTATGAAGTGTAAAATAGGTTGTATCACTGAATTTCACATATTCAAGTAGCACTTTTTCTGAAGAGTATCCAAGGTCCACTTGGGGAAAAGAAAGTGATCCATTACTTTGTAGAAAAACAGGTGATAAATTACCCTGAAATAGCTGCTGTGCTTCACACTCCTAGCAACAGAAACCCCTCAGCCAAAACATCTGAGCCCCGGCAATTCTTCACACAACTTCAAAGAGCAACTTCTGTGTTAAGAGTTCTGAGGTAGACTGGTCTTAGCTAAATAATTCAGTAACCACAAGTACTGAGGCACTATCATACTCCCTGTCTTTGAACAAAAGCAGCAAAACAACCTCAGCAACAGATTCAGTGTCATCAGAGCAAGCAGTCTGTACTAACACACTAAGAAGCCAGTCAAATGCTGCTGGGAGCATGTGACAGTAGCATGTATGTAAAGAGTTGCCCAATGCTTCATGTGCTGGGTTTTTTTTCATTTGTTGTTGTTTTTCTTTCTATAAAAGCTAACACCTTTTTGAAACCATATAGTGTATTTACATTTCCCGGACCAAAGGACGGCTTCTGGACAACATCTTATTTTATAGGTGTATTTTGAGCCAGAACAATTCCAGGAAGGGAGAAGTTCCAAGAGTTTCAAGAGGGAAAAGAAATAAGAAAGTGGAAAGCAACTGTGCTTTTGCCTCTGTTAACATTTACTGGATCCCATTTCTTCAAGCAGGCTTTCTTCAATCATTTGGGGTCTCAATTCAGAGGCTCTGAAAACCCTGCCAAATTAAGGCTTCAAAATTTACTTCTAAAATTTCTAACATGGTCCATCTCCTACTCTTGCAGCCTTACTCCTCCTGGCAGACTTGAGACTGTGAATTGTCAAAACCTGAGCCTCTGGCTCTGTGAAGAGCAGAAGTCATGTGCCTGCACTTTCCTAATCAGAGCTAATGGTGGTGAATGCTGCAAGAGCTCTGTTTCACACCTGGCCCTGAAAGGTGAGAAGGCCCAAAGCACATCTGGTGCATTACACTGAGCTACCACAGTAAAGCCATAAGCAATATTTAATGTTTGACCACACCTGGAAGAAAAAGATGCTGGAATGACCAGGAACAAAGTCAAGTTTCTGGAAAATGAACTCTTTCTTCTGTCCAAAGCATACTGATAGCCCATCAAGAAGAGGGAGAACCCATTCAGGACAATTATTTAATGTAGGTGTGACTTACACAGCTATATAATTTTTAGTTCAATATTTTCTCCCCAGACCTTTTCTTATCTCCTCCTCTTGAATTAGAACAAGAAAATTCTGTTTTCAAATAACTGTTTATCAAAAGAACACATACTAGTAACCACAGACCAAAAATGAACAAGAAACTAAACACCTTCAAATTGTGTTTGTTTCCTTTTTATATAGTCCACTGATTTTACTTTTTATCAAGGGAAGGAAAAAATAACAAACAAACCCCAAATACAGTTCTTCCTATTTGCACTAGGCCTGATATATACACAAACTGATCCAAATTCAAACCTATACTTGCACTGGAGACCCTGAAAAGACAAAAGAGCATTTCAAACACCATAGTGATTCACTAATCACACAGCTAGCCATTTACGAAACACAAGTCTTGCTCCCAAACAGAACTTAGTTTTCCAAGTTCCAGTTCCAGACACAAAATGCATTTCTCATAATGCTGCACATAGATGCAGGAAAAATGAGAAAACAGTAACAGCTTAGTCCAAGTCACATCCCCTGGCTCTGGAGAACTCCACTGAGGAATTCCTGCTTTATTTTCAATTTTACATCCTTTTTGTTCTCTGGCAGAGTTATCCTGAGGTTTTCAAGCATTGTTTGGTCATTGATCAAAGTTCCTATGGAAAGCACAATAGTTTCTTCCAGAGCAGAAGTACCTTTCCAGTACCTTTCCATTCTGCAATGATCTCTGGAGAGATCCTGAACATGAGGGGGCTATCCATCTTCTTCAGGTCTTCAACACCTCATAGGTAACAGGTACAGATACCAGGATCATGACTGCCTATAGGACATTCAAGGCATGTGCTGCCCTATTCCAGCATTCCTCTGCAATTCCTGCTCCCATTACATGACTGTTATAAAAAGAGTTTTCTTCTCCTTTGATCACCACTGTGTCTCCTACTGCACAAGTTTCAAGTTTTCAGGGAGATCTGCATGTGACAAGATTTACATTTACCAAACAGCAGCCATCTATTCAGCTCTTTCTGTGACATCAGCCTTGAGAAGCTTTCAAGGACAGCATTACCTCTGCAGTCTATATTCTTTCCTGTTACGCTTGGTTGAAATGGGCTCAAGGTAATAAAAATTACTGGAATATCAGGAAATGACAGAAGAGAAGTGAGAAAGGACACAGGCACATACGGATCATCTGGTCTTATGGTATTATAACCAGCTAAAGCAAAGGGAAGGGAGAATTTGGTTGTCTTTAAAGGAACTGGTAAGTTCTCCTGAACCTAGGCCTCCAGAAACTAAGAAACCTGACATTAGAGGGGCAGGAGTAAGGGCTGATGGACACATTTGAAATACAGCAAGAAATCACACAGCAACTTACAAAATTGTGTCTAAAGAAAGGCTACTCAAATAACAAATGCAGTCTGGATTCAATATAGCAAGTACAAAAGACATCTCCAAAAATTGCCATCCAAGCCATTTCTGAACCTATAGCAGAAAGGATCAATTCCATCCAGTTCTGCTCTTCATTTGTTACCCAGTCATGGCAGAAGCAATCCAGGACTGGGAGATTAAGATGAATCTGTATTTACATTTCACAAAAGGGAACTGCCATAGTATTTAAAAAGAGGTGTCACTGAGCTACCATGCACTTGAGGACCCTCCTCTGACTCCATTACCCATGGGAAGAAATTGCACTTCAATAAAATATTCTTCTCATCTCCTAAAATTCAAGCAGGAAGCAAATGGTGAAGATGGAGGCAGAGAGCTGCTGGTCACAGTACAAGCTTGCCAAACACTCCCTCCAGGTTGCTTTGCTTAAGT